TCCTGCCCGCGAGGCTCTGCAGGCTGGTAGCGGTGGGGAGGCAGCTAGAGAAACAAGGCCAGCAGGAGACACAATGCACGGTGCTGAGCGCTGCCAGAGACACCACGGGAAGCGCTCTGCTCCTGACCATCCGTGAATGTGGAAGTCGGAAGGCCGGACAAGCACTGTCTGAACCGAGATTAATTGGGTTTTTTGTTCACTAGTTCACATGCATGATTGAACACCTACTATAAGCCTGGAGAGTGGGTAGAAGATGAGAGACCCAAGACCTGCCTTTAGTCTGGGAGATGGACAGACAAACTGATGGTTAACCCAGGGAGGTAAGCACCTCAGAAGAGGGGCTGCAGGGGGCGGGAGGAAATCGGTAACCCGGGGGACCTCAGAGACAGCTTCCCACAGGAGGTGATGCCTGAACAGAATCTTGAAACAAAAGTAGAAGTTGAACAACCCAGGGGAAAAAATAAAGCACTTTCAAGCAATGGGAACAACATATGCAAAGGCACCAGTACAAGACAGAGCCCAGTGACGCGTGCGTGTGGTGGTTCTGTGTGCTAATCTGTGCTATCGGCCTGACTTTCATTATCTCTAGTCCTTATAATAGTCCTGTGAGGGTGCTATTACTAACTCATTTCACAGATGAGAAAACCGAGGTTCAGAGAGGGCCTGAGCCCGGCTTCTCATACAGAGTAGGACCTGACCCCTAGTGGCTAAAGGTATTCTAACCTCCTCAGTATGAAAAGACGAGATTCAGATTTCAAAGAACATGATTTTTGGGGGAATATTATTAGTCAGGATACTGTTAGCTGCCTGTAGCAGGAACCCAGTTAAAAGAGGCTTGGGCTGGCGGAGGGGAGGAATTGGCTCACAGAACTGAAGAGACCAAGAGTAGTTTCAAGCATGGCTGGATCCAAATGCTCAAACGCCATTAGAAATGTGTCTCCAGCTTTCAACTCAGTTTCACACTGTGGTGGTTTCATTCTCTCTCGGCATCCCCAGGGTGCCACCAGCACACCAAGCATACATCTTACCACCTTAGAGGCCCCATGGAAAATATGTCCCTTTCCTACTGTTCCAACAAAAAGTGTCAGGCTTACGTTTCATTGGCTGGGCTGGGTCATGTGTCTACCTCTGGACCCAGGCCTGGGGCCAGGGCAAAGAATAAGAGGCCAACCCCACCTCACCCACATGGACAAAGAGCTGGGAAGTGCAGATCCCAAAGAATCAGGGTGCTTTTCCCAAGAGAAGGGGAGCGGACGATGGGAAGATGAGAACGACAGGTGTTTCCAGGGCACTTACTGAGGGGCAGACGCTGTATTCTGTGCTCGCCTAGAACCCCATTAAAATCCCATAGCTGCAAGTGTCAGGGCTCAGGGCAAAGATGGGCCGCGGGGACATGAAGTGGGTCAAGGAATGTATAACCTACTCGTATCTCAGAAGTGTGCGGTGTAATAGAGTCTACACAGTGTGGGAACCCAGCTCAGTGCCTCGTCCCAACGCACACCAGGCGTGGATGGCACGCCAAGTGAAGGAGGAGGGGCTCCCTGCCACTGGACTTAAGTTACATAATGTTACATGTCCACGTTAAAAAATTTTTATCGGAGTATAGAAATTCCATATGGTAAGGAGGAAAGAGAATGAGAAAAAAAATGGCAGCTTAAAACAAAGCAAGAAAAGACGGGAAATTTGAGAAAAGGTGGTGCAAATATAAAGCACAAAATCACACTGAAGAAATCAGTCAAAATGCATCAAGAATCACTGTACATGTAACAAGCTGGCCAATTAAAACATGAACAATGTCAGATTTGATTTTTTAAAAACAAATATTTTTACAAGAGGTAGACCTAAGGAAACAAAAAGAATGTTGAAAGTATAAGAAAGAAAAACTAAGATAAAATAGGCAGATACTAACCAAAAGAAAGCTGGGTATCTATATTCATATCACACAAAGTGAGCTGTAAGCAAAAGGTATTACTCAACATAAAGAAGATCATTATATATTTTTTTAAAAGATTCAATTCACCAGAAAGACAGTAATTCTCAACTTGTGTGTACGAAGTAATCTGGCTTTAAAAATATGTAAAGGAAAACTGACAAACTACACAGGGAAATGAATCACTAACATCATTAATAAATAACATTAAGATTGAAGGGTAATATTATTAAAGATGTTGCAGAGACTAAGTCTGATAATAAAAACATTGCAATCGATTTTATGCCCCCACAGGGGACAACTCAGACGCAGCGAGCACATTCCTAGCAAAACAGGACTTGCCAAACTTGAGAATAGAAAACCCGATGGCCCTATAACCATCAAAAATAAATGAAATGAACGAAACACCGGTAGCACTTGCTTTTGCAAAGGAGTTTTACCAAACACTTAGGGAGCAGCTGATGCCGTCCTGCACAAACTCAATCAGACAAGAGAAAGGGGGAAGTCTGCAGTTTATGTGACGAGGCCACTGCAGTGTAGATTCAAAAACAAATATGAGAAGGGAAACGCTAAAAAGTAAGAAACAACTCAGGTGCCCATCAGCAGGGTAGGGGTGGTGGTGGATAAAGAAACGAGTATGTTCACGTAACGGAATATTTACAGTCGTGAAGTAGGCATCGACATGGCTTAATCTCATCAATATGATGTTAAACAACCACCAAAACGGCAGCTACAGAAAAAAAGTCACAAAACATGACTCCTCACTTCCATAAAAGTAAGATGCAGGCAGAACTACCCGATATATTGTTTAGGGATACACAAATATTTGCTGAAACATGTCAGGGGCTTGTAAAGTTCTGTGTCTTAACTAGAGGGGTGGTTACACTAGTGTCTGTTCTAATATTCTCGAATTTCCTTTAAGCCATGCGTAGGTGTTTTTATGTAGCCTCTTTGGATGTATGAATGCATTTCGTTTGAAAATATTTACTGATGGGATCGACATGTAACAAAAAGATATGTCTGAATTGGGGAGTTATTTGAGACATTCATTTTCTTTGTTTTGTTCACTTCTGTGTTCTGAATTTTCTGCTGTGAACATGTGATATTTCCAAGTTATTTTAAGTGACTTTTCAGCCCTTTAGAAAAAGGGGCTAGTTACTTCCTAGCCTAGAGCCAGCTTTTCTTTGATCATTTCACTCATGTCAGTGAAAGTCACTTTGTCAGAGCCACAGGCTCCGTCTGGAATTTTAAGCCAAGGGCAGTAGGTACCTGCCTGCTTGGTCAAATATGTACAGTGCTGGCATCGAGGACTGGAGCCTCTGGGGTGCCAGAGGTACGACCTTGAGGTCCAGGCGAGGCAGGTGTTCTGGGGAGGGAAGGGCTGGCCCACCACAGAGAGAGCTGGGGCCTCGGCACTGGCTAAGCTGGGACCTACCAGGCACTGAAGGAAGCGTGGGAGTTGGCTGCGCCCTTCTCCACAGAGCCTCGTAAGGTCAGGCATTCAGCTCTCCAGCGCCGCCTATCTGATGGACCCTAGGACAAACTCTTCCCCCTACCCACGAGGAGGGGAGCAGCATAGTGAGCTTGACGCCCCTGGTGGCTTAACAGGTGATGGCTGCAGCTGGGACCAGAATGAGCTTCACGGGGCATCCAGGGGAACTGCGAGGGGTCTCAGGACCAAGTGGCGGGGGAGTCCCCGGTTAGGAGGGGAAGAGGACAGCTGTCACTGCAGCCTGGGCTGGAAGTGAGAAACATGGGGGCTTTGGGGGCCTCAGAGCTAAAGCCGGGTTTTGTCCTGCCCTGGAGATGCCCATCCCCCCAGCAGAGTCTGGGACACGACGCAGTGCACGGCTTCTCCTGTGTTTGGGCAAGCTGGGTGGGCTGGGGGACACGGGGCAGCACCCCACAAACCACAGTCGCTTGCAGACCCCCTCCCCATCCAGCTCATAGCCCTCTCCTCTCTCCCTCCTGCATTCCATGCACTTAAACATCTACCCCAACTCTGTGTTTCCACTGAAAGAAAACTTTCTATCTATTCCTAAGAAAACTTTGTATCGGCACCATAAATGGAAATGCAATATCACGTGTGGGAAACAGAAGTCCTCGTGCATGTAGGTACCGCGACACAAAACGACGTCACCCCAGTTTGGTCAGATCCAATGGCCGATCGAAACTCTGAGCCTGCCCCCTGCTCTCTGCTTTAACCGGGACGCGCAGGCGTTAGGGCTGAAACACGGGGCGCCACGCTGAGCCATTCCCTTCGGCCCCGTGAGGTTTGCAATAAAACTGAGAAAGGACCTCACTGAACGTGGCTGAAGGGGAGAGCAGGTCTGCCACACACATCTCAGCAGGCAGCAGGGCGTGGGAACCCCATATGCCCACACGTGGAACTCCCCTGCTTTCTGAAAGTGCAGGGCTAACGCTCGGCTCACAACAGGCCCGCCCACCAAGCGTTTGGCTCACGCACCTTCAGTGGCCTCCCCTTCAATCAGATTGACTCCACAGGCATTAACTGTGGCCCTACTGAGCGCCAGCCACCTTGCAGGGTTTGAAAGGCAGGTGCCTTGCCTTCGAGGAGGACACATTTGGACAGGGAGAGGTGTGCACGACTGGTTTTGATGTAAGGCTGAATAAACCTTTGCCTCTTTTCCCAGTCTTCACCCAACTCATGCAAAGCATGCTGTAGGTGGTCAGGAGTCATTTCATTAGGATTCAGAAATAGCAAGCATTAACTGGGCTCCTACTATGCGCCAGGCTTTAGAACACTTAGTCCTTTCAAGACTTCAAAGGTAGTTATTTTTACCTCCATAGGAGGTTCAGAGGGGTTAAGTAACTTGACTAGGGGCACACAGCATGTTAGAAGCCGGCTTGGGGTTTGCAAGCAGGTCTCCAGGGTGCTCCCCACTGTGGGCTGAGGGAAGAAGCTCCTGTTGCACGTGCGAGATCCGACCCCTTTCCACCTCCCCCTTCCTGGGGTCTAGCTTAGAAGGAAAGGCCAAGGCTGGGCCCTGGGCCCACTGGCCTCGCGCAGTGGTCACCTCAGCTCTGACCTATACTTGTGTGTCCTCAGGAAGCCAGCACTGTCTTGCACCGTGTGCTCCAGCAACCTTCTGAGCTGCTGCAAGAGTCTGTGGGGCCTTCGGTTCCTGCAGAGACACGTGAGAGGCCCCTCAGAGGAGCAGCCGAGGGAGCTGCTGGCCAAGGGGCCACGGAGGACACCGCCCGAGGAAGCGGTGAGGACACTGCCCTCCCATGCTGTGTAGACCCAGCCCCAGGACACTGAAGATACTGCTCTCGGTCACCAAGATTTGACTCCTGGAGCCACTAAGGACCCAGCAGCCTCCAAAGCCACCGAGGATGCACCGTAGGCTGAGCCTGGGGACTCCCGGAGCACACAACAGGGCGCCGGGCTGCCGAGGTGCTCTGGCCTCCGTGGGACAGCCTGTCTGTGCTCAGCGTTCCCAGACAAGGGAGGTGTCAGGACTCCCCGGGTCTCAAGCGCACACCAGTGCTGGCCCTGAGTCACGAGCAGAGACAGTGGGACATTTGGGATGTGTGCACGTGTGTGCATGGATGTGCACCTGCAGGAGCATGTGTGCCCTCTGAGCACAGCAGGGGGTGCTGCCATAAAGTGTTGGCCTCAGATTCCATCGTGGGTTCTGCGGGATTAAGGACAAGAAAGGAAGAGAGAGGGAAGGGAAGGAAATGAGCCTTTAGTGGACACCTGCTGTGTGTGAGGCACCTACGCGAACTCCCATAACCCTGATCGCATGTGACAGGGATCACGGTCCCAACTTTAAGGGTGGAGACAGGCTCGGGGAAGTACGGGGCCTGCCCAAGGCCCCTCAGCTAGAACGTGTGCCCGGCTCGGAGGCCCTGGAAAAATAGCTAGTGAATGAATGAATACACGAACGAGTGGGAGGATGGGTGAAAAGCCAGGCCTCCCGCCCACGCTGCCTCTCAGGGGTGGAGCCATTTCCTTGACTGCGCCCCCCCTCCTCCCAGAGAGGATCAGACCCGCAGCCTGGGGGAGGGGGG